ACCTGTAGTCCCAGCTACTTGGGAGGCTGAGGCAAGAGAATCGCTTAAGCCCAGGAGTTGGAGGTTGCTATGAACCGTGATGCCACGGAGGCTCTGTGTTTCAAAAAAAGAAAGAAAAACAGTAAAAGTGGAATATCCATGCCCTGTGACTCTGCACTGCTCCGTATGGGAACCTATTCCATGGAGGTACATACCCTAGAAGGCAAGGATATATGTGCTAGATGTTGACAACTCTTCAGTGAGACAAACAGAATCACCTGGATGACTAGGAGGTATGGTGGGACACAGTGCGGTATCCCTGTGTTAGGGAACACAAGACAAACACCTCCAGAATTATATCCAGAACACACCCAGACTTGCACCTCCATGGCTACCCTCCAAGAGCAAAGCTTTAGCAGGCAGCCCTGCAGACCAAAGCAATGCCTCTTCCCTGGTCTGAGTCAGCAATCTGCTCAGGGAGTATCCTCAACATGGCAGCCAGAGGGAGCACTTTTAAATCTGATCCTGTCCTTTTCCTGCATCCAGCCTTCCAGTGTCTTGGGAGATGAAGTTCATCCTCACTAGGCCCCAGGCATAGGAGCACATGCCATTGCTCCTTCCCTGCCCTCAGGGCCTTTGCACTTGCCTCTACTGCTTGATGCTGCCGTTTCTGCAAACAGGCATCCCCTGACAGTTGAAGCAGCCCCTCACATCTACCCCCTAAACCTTCCATCTCCTCATTACTATTGTCTTCGTAAAACTATCACTGCTTACTTATTGTTAGTCTCCTGGTCTGAAATATAAAGTCCAAGAAGAGGAAAAAATCTTGCCTTGCCTGTCTTCTCCAGGGGTACAAGAGTACTTAATACTGATATGAGGACAATTAATGACTTAGTACACAGTGAGGGGTGAGGGAAGGGGAGAGCAGAGAGAGGGAAGGAATGGGGTCTCGGTGTGTGACACACCTTTTGGGGGCAAGACACAATTATAGAAGAGACTTTAACAAATGCAATCAGTGTAACCTGGTATCTCATACCCTCAATGAATCTCCAACAATTAAAAAAAAAAAGTAGAAAGAAATAAATTTTGCTATTCACAGTTTCAGGAGGAAAGTTCAAGGATGGGTGAATAGTCAGGTAGAATAAGGGAGCCCGTTTATAGTGGCCCCTGTGGGGAGGAATGAGTGAGTCAGGACAAGCAGGTTTGCGATTGGTTAGTCTGGGTATTGTCAGTGGATCTGAAGTGTTGGGGTTGTCTAGAGATGTCTGGTACCTGGCCTTGGAGTGATTGGAGCAAAGGATTATTGGCTCAGGTTGAAAGAGCTGAACAGAGGAAGTGGAGGGGACACTCTGGATATGTTAGTGTGCATGTGAAAAGCCTGATTTTAAGAAAGAATTTCCCCAAACCACAGACGGTGTGGATGCAGACAAAAGGGAAAACTACACTGCTGCTGGGAATGCAAGTTAATACCACCTTTTTCGAAAGAAGTTTAGAGAATACTCAAGGAACTAAAAGTATACCTGCCATTCAATCCTGCAATTCCTCTACTAGGTAGATACCCAGATGAACAAAAATCATTTTACAACCATGACATTTGGACCAGGATGTTTATTGCAGCCCAATTCATCATTTCGAAGACATGGAAACAGCCCAAGTGCCCATGGACCCATGAATGGATTAACAAATGGTGGTATATATGTACATAGTGGAATACTATGCAGCCATAAAAAGATGGAGACTTCATAACTTTTCCATTTCCCTAGATGGAGGTAGCACATATTCTTCTTCATAAAGTGCTCCAGAATGGAACAAAAAGTATCCAAGGTATGCAGTACTACTATGAATACGATATAGAATCACCTACACATTTATACAAATGGTAAAACATAACTACAGTCCAGAAAGTAGAAAGGAAGAGGAGAGAGAAGGGAAGGGACGGGGGAGGCAGGAGGGAGGGTTTTGGGGGGAACCTCACCTAATGTACATGATGCAACAGAACATTTCAAACAATAAAGAATATAATACGAAGGAAAAAAAAAAAGAGTACTTATACTGTACCTGGCCACACAGCAAGTGCTCAGTGCCTGCGCATTACCTGACACTGGGTGTTCAGGAGTCACTGAAGAACGGCCTGGTGCAGGAATACAGTGTAGAAATCAGCTTGAGGAAACAACTAGAAATACTAGTTTTTTTGGATTTTATGAAGGCAGGGTCTCGCTCTGTTGCCGAGGCAGAAGTGCAATGACATCATCAGAGCTCACCGCAGCCTCCAACTCCTGCGTGTGATCCTGCTGCCTCAGCCTCCCCAGTAGCTGGGAGGCAGGCACGTGCCACCACGCCCGATAATATTTTAACAGTGATATTTTTTGTAGAGACCGAGTGAGGACTGGAGAAGGGCTCTAGCTATCCTGGAATGTTAGTGTGAAAAGAGGCTACCGGCCCACAGCCCGCCCACTGACTGGGAACTCCCTGGCGGGGTTAGGGTTAGGGGGCTGGGACCTGCGCTGCTGCTGCTGTAACTTACAAGGACGCTCGCTGCGCAGGCAGTTTGACAGGAACGCCCAGGCTAGGTCCGGTCCCTTTCTCTGTTTTGCTATATATAACCTTGTGACCATGATTTCCAAGGAAAAGGAAGAAAGAAAAGAGTGGAGATGCCGGGGATTGAACCCGGGGCCTCATACATGCAAAGCATGCGCTCTACCACTGAGCTACATCCCCTTCCTACGAATGACTTTTCCTGGAACTGCACATACAGGAAATGGTTCTTGGCTCTGTTGCGCCAGCTTTTC